GGCCAAGTAACTTGGCCAACCAAGTTACTGGACAAAATCTACATTCATGCCCCTTCCAAAGAAAGGTGATCCAATGGAATGTGGAAATTAATCAACAATATCATTAATATCACACACAAGTAAAATTTTACTTAAGTTAATTTTTTTAAGTTACAGTAGCACAGTGCCAGAAATCCAGGCTGGATTCAGAAGAGGACATAGAAGGAAGGATATCATTGTTCATATAAAATAAATCTTGACAAAATGCAGAGACCACCATAAAGATGTTTGTTGTTGTTGTTGTTAAGTGCCATCGAGTCGGTTCCAACCCATAACGACCCTGAACACGGTTTCTGAGGCTGTAAATCTTTATGGGAGCAGAAAGCCTGATCTTTCTCCCGCGGAGCAGCCGGTAATTTCGAACTGCTGACCTTGCGGTTTGCAGCCCAATTCGTAACCACTACGCTACCAGCTCCTTTATAAAGATATTTACCTGTTTTATTGATTATGAGAAGGAATTTGACTGTATGGATCATAACAAATTAAGGATAACAATGAGAAAAAGAGAATTCCAGAACATTTCATTGTACTCTTGTGGAACCTATACACAGACCAAAAAATATTCATTTGGATAGAACAAGGGGATACTGCGGTGGTTTAAAATCAGGAAAGGTGTTTGTCATGGTTTCAACATACTTATTCAATCTGCATGCTGTGCAAATAATCCAAGAAGCAGGACTATATGAAGAAGAATGTTGTTGTTGTTATGTGCCATCGAGTCGGTTCCAACCCATAGCGACCCTGTATAGGGTTTCCGAGGGTGTAAATCTTTACAGGAGTAGAAAGCCTCATCTTTCTCCCGCGGAGCAGCTTGTAGTTTCAAACCGCTGACCTTAAGGTTCGCAGCCCGATTCGTAACCACTACGCTACCAGAGCATCAGAATTAGAGGAAGACTCATGAACAACCTGATATATGCATATAACACACCTTACTTCCTAAAATCCATGGTACCTAACAACAACAACTTCCTGAAAGCAAAGAGGACTTGAATCACTTACTTTGAAGACCAAAGACTACAGCCTTCAGTATGGATTACCAAAAACCAAACTAAAAATAATGCTGTCAAGTCAACTCCAAGGCATAATGATTCTACAGAACAGGATAGAACTGTTCCTTAGAGTTTTCCAGACTGTAAACCTTTACAGGAACAAACAGCCTCACCTTTCTCCCTCAGAGTAGCTAGTGTGGGTTTGAACCTGACCCTTCGGTTAGCAGTGCAATGCTTAACCCTGGGGTCCTTCACTACGGAGTACACTTCAATATAAAGAAAACAAAAAATCCTCACAACTGAACCAATAAGCACCATGATGATTAATGGAGAAAACAGTGAAGTTGTCAAGGATTTCATTGTATTCGGATCCATAATCAATGCCCATGGAAACAGCAGTCAAGAAATCAAATGACATATTACAATAGGCAAATCTGTGTTTAAAAGCAAAAAGATGTCACCTTGAAGACTAAGGTGTGCCAACCCTAAATAATGGTCTTCTCAGTTGCCTCATATACATGCAAAAACTGGACAATAAGGAAGACCAAAAGAAAAGTGATGCATTTGAATTACTGTGAAGAATACTGAATATACCATAGACTGCCAGAAGAATGAGTAAATGTCCTAGAAGAAGTACAGCCAGAATGCTTCCTAGAAGCAAGGATGGTGAAACATCACCTTACATATTTTGGTCAAGTTATCAGGAAGGAACAGTCCCTGGAGAAGGACATCATGCTTAGTAAAACAGTGGGTCAGAGAAAAAGAGGAAGACTCTCAGTAAGATGAATTGGCACAGTAGCAACAAAGAACTCAAATATAACAAGGATTGTAAAGGTGACACAAGAACCATGTAGTGTTTCATTCTGTTGCACATGGGGTCACTATTATGAGTTGATGGCATGCAACAAGAACAATGACAATCCACCTCCAATACAGGCTCTTCCCCTAAAGTCTATGCTCCCTGGCTTAAAGCCCAAGTTTCTTGGCTTAATTCAGCATGGTCTCCACAGCATCCAGCACAGACTCCAGAAAGGCTATATTCCTGGGAAAAGGCCTTTATAGTGTACTTTCAGAGTTCCATGTGGAATTCTTATTGTCCTGCCTCTCTATCCACTACCAGACACCTAAGCTTAAACTTGATCTTCAACCAGAGAAATACCCAACTGAGATCATTATCAGTTTGATGAAACATAAAAGCTGATGGCTATAATCGAATATTCAGTCTTGGTTCAAATCCTGTCTCTGCCACAAGATAACAGTTGTGTGACCTTAGGCATAATCATTCTTCTGTGACTCAGTTACTTCAACCCATATAAAGCATTTTTGCAAGCATCAATGATATGTTAGTGCATACAGAACAGGTACACAGGAGGGCCTCAAAAGCAGCTGCCCTGCCCTACTAAATCCCTGACCTAGGAGCAGCAGAAGCTGGAATAATAGTGAGATAAAGGATTGAACATTTCCTCATCTGCCTCAGCAAAAATGAATACACATTTAATCTCAGAGGCTATGATATCTACTCTGACCAAGAGTAAATGCAATGCCCTAGGTTCAGATGAAAGATAATCAAGTACCAAGCCTCTCCTTCCCCGAGTAACTATTTCAGTGTATTTGATAAAATAACCCCAAGGTTCCCCAGGTCCCACCATTCTCAAGGTTTAATAAACAGCAGCAAACTTGTGGTGACCACATTTGGTTCTATCAGGAGAAGTGGTTCAAATCCTTGGTCATACTTGGTCTTCTGTCCCCGTTCCTGAATGCAAGGTTCCTTTCCTTGTCCTGGTTTGGCATCCCCTCTGCTCTACCTTCTTTGCCTCTTTTCTTATAGTTACCCCTCCATCCTGTCTCTCCTCCGTTGGCTGATCTCCCTGGTTTCGATTGGAATTTTTGCTTTATACTCAAGGAGTGTGGGACCTAGGGAAAGCTTTTAATCAGCACAGTAGCATGATCCAGACTTGTGTTTAGAAAGGTGTTGGTGGTCACAAAGAGAATGGTGGGAAGGGGAGGGCATCAGAACTTCTAGCAAAGTTCTGGTCTCCCACCTGTCAAGCTGGAATAGTCACTATTACTATTTTAAGCACTTGTGTACATGTGGTTCTCTGTATCTGGACCTTACTGTCCCCCAGTTAATTCCCACTGGCCTTCCAAACCACGACTCAGGAAACTCCTTTCCTCAGGCTCCCAAAGCGCCTTGTACACTCAAAGACAGACACTATCAATCATGGGATCCCCAACTTCTGCTGCCCTCCAAATTAAGTTCCTTAAGGGTAGAACCTGCCTCTTTTACGTGGGTCCCCAGGACCTATCACAGAATCTGGCAAGTAGTGAAACCAAATAGTTGTTGAATGAATGAATGCACTTTGCCAAATCCATTTTTCAGAACCGTGAGAACTTGCCATCAGCCTCCTTCATCACAAGCTTTCATGTTCCAACCATGTTTGATGTGTGTGTAGTACTACATACTTAGACATTTATGTTGTTACTTTTTTTTTAAGTGCTGTCAAGTCAGTTCTGACTCACTGTGACCCTGCATAGGGTTTCCAAGCAGCAGCTGGTGGATTTAAATCACCACTGTGGTTAGCCACATCAGGACATTTATACAGTATTCTGAGGTGGCGCTAGAGGATAATACACTGGACCACAAGGTGAATCTGAGCCACAAGGTCGAAAGTTCAAACCCACCAGATGCCCTTTGGAAATTCTATACAGGGTTGCTGAGTTGGAACCGACTCAAGGGTGCATGACAACAAATGGCCTATTACAGTCCCACTACATATCCAACTCCCTCAAATCTGATTTCTCCAAGACACCATTCCTCAGCCTCCTTTGAGCATGCAGGACATGAGTTCTTTCCTGGCTCGAAGGCAAAGTTGAATTCAACTTCTCCAGATTCAAACTATGGATTTTTATACTGCCAAAAAATGTTCAAGTCAAATTCTATTTTTACAGGGACATTACAAAATTATCACAATATCTCCAAACTCTAAACACAGAACAACTTGATAAAACTGCAATACCCAATCTACACTAGAAATTCCAAAACACCTGGAAGCACATTCAGGTCTTTATCTGGACTTCTGTCCTATAAACATCACCCTCCCTGCACGGAGTCTGGGTTCCATGCCAAGAATCACTTCTACTCGATTATTTAGGGAAACAGCAGGCCAGGCTCTTAAGTTAGAACTAAACTCTAAGCTATAAACGTGCTGTCCGAGGCTCTGGCTCCGACCAAGGCAAACTTCAAAATCACCATTAAAACTAATTCTGAAGTAACAATTTATAAATCTAAGTACTCCTGCCTCTCAAGTTATTAAGTAGAAACTGCATTTTAATCACCAGTTAACTTTGTAAGAAATTAACTTCTTGTTGTTCTCAACACAAAGTATAATTTCTCTGGGAGACATCCTCCAAATATACTCATTTTTGAGTATCAGGGTGAAGCCTGATCTTACAAATATCAAGTGAAAAGGAAAAAGGTAGTAAGGCTTCCAAAGCAACTCAAGTGGGCGGGAGATGCGAAGGACTCAGGGTGTGAGCAGACTCAGGAAGCAACGGAAGCGGCTCTCCAGCCCCTGGCGGGGTTTCCAAACCCTATCCTCGAGATCCGGACCAGCTGGGCCGCGACCCCCGTTAGGATTCCGTCCAAGAGGCCGCTCGCAGGCCGTACACGTCCGCGGCCGATAAGCAGGCCCCACGTTCCCGGGAGCGCGAGCCGGGCTGAGGCCTGGCCCGTAGCCGCGGCGCGCAGTCCGGGCAGGCAGGCTTTCAGAGCCGTCGCTCAAAGGAAGGAAAGCAGGGGGGTGGCTCCGCCCGGGCCGCGCCGCCGCCTCACCCGCAAGGACGTCCGAGGCTGTGTCCCCGCCCCGGGCCCAAAAGCAAGCAGCAGCAGGTGTTCCGCCGAGGCCCAGCCGGCAGCGGGGGTGGGGGCCCGGACATCCACGCACCGCGGCAAGGGACGGGCGACGCACTCACCGAGAGGCGGCGGACGGGCAGCGGCAAGTGCCTGCTCCTCCCGGCCCGCAGGACGCCTCCGCTGCTCCCTGGGAACTCGGCGCTATGCTACCGTCGCCGCCGCCGCCGAGCCCAAGGAGCGCGAGCGCCGCGCCGCAGCCTCCGCGCGAGCACGTACCGGGTGGTGAGAGGGCGCCGAGCGCGAGGGCGGGGCGCACGGCTGGAGCCTAGCAACCGCCTGACACGCGAGTGCCGCAGCCAATCCTGCTGCCAGTTCCGCGCGGCGCTGACCGACCGTCGGCGCACCGCCCGCTTCTGCCTGCGTCTGCCGCCCCGCAGGGCGCCGCACCCGGGCTCAGGCTCCACCTCCGACCTCTCCGCGCTGCTCATTGGTTCACCACGCCCCCCACCCGGATAAACACGCCCTATCTTTGAAGCTCCGCCTTGGACCCCGCCAGGTCGGTCCACTGGACTCGCCTTAACGTGTTCTGCTTACCTGGATTTCCAGACCTAGGTGGGGGAGCCGAGCTCTGTCCAACCTCAGACTTTTGGTATCTGAAGCGCGTCCACTACCAAAAGCCACTGGGCAATTAAGCTGGAAAACCGGTCTGGCCGCAACTGGCCTTCGGCTGCTTTCGGCCCTCATAGTTTCCCCATACTCAAATCAAGAGGCATTCATTTCTAAGCCATGAAACAATCAGAAAGAGTCCTCTGAATTGCGAAGGATGACGGCCTCGCAGCCCGGCCCTTACACTGGTGGGGAAACTGAGACCAGGGCGGCAATATAACCTCTCTCCGATGGCTTCGCCCACAGCGGACAGAGGCGCGCCAAAAGTGCTTGCTGTGACCCCGGTCCCCTCCCCCTGCCGGGAACGTCTGGAATCCAATTCCTCCTCGGGCGCCCGAAATAGCTCTGACCCGCTGGCGCCGGTCACTCACTCCCTGTGGCCCGCATTCTTTCGGAGGGTGGGGTAGTAAGGGGCAGGGGTTACAACTGAGGTCCTTTCTCCCCTCATAGGCAGGGTCATGAAAACACTGTAACCCTTCTCAGGGATTATCTGTCACCTCCACACCAAAGAACCCTAACCTGCCAGATGGGTCTGGGACCCATAGTCTGCGCCCTTCTGGTCCACAGACCCCATATCCACTCCTTCCTAAACCTGTTGTTAGGTGCGGAAGAGTCGGTTCCGATTCAGAAACCCTATGTACAACAGAAACACTGCCCAGCCCTGCTATGTTTGAGCCAATTGTTGCAGTCACTGTGTCAATACTTGTAACGCATTGAGGGTCTTCCTTCAACCTGGTGTCGCCTTCTTCTTCATATAGTTAAACTTCTCGGATTATTTGGACAATGTGCAACTGAGTAAATCTGGTGAAAGGAAAAAACTCTGACCCACATCTTTCCTAATTTTAAATCACAAAGTATCCCCTTGTTGTTTGAACAATTGCCTCTTGGACTGCTCAGGTTCTGTGTGAGCACATTAAGTACTCTGTAATTCCCATTTTTTGCAACATTATCCACAGTGTGCGCTGATCCACATTGTCAAATGCCTTTAGATGATCAATAAAAACACAGGTAAACAAATTTCTGGTATTCTCTACTTCTAGCCAAGATTCAGCTGACATCAGCAATGATGTCCCTCATTCCATATCCTCTTCAAAGAGCACTGATGGCACATGAGTTAAGAATTGGGCTGCTAACCACAAAGTTAAAGCCCACCAGCCACTCCACAGAAAAAAGATAAGGCTACTCCCATAAAGGAGTACTGGTATGGGGCTGTGGGTTAATGCACTGGACTGCAAAGTTGGTTTGCACTGCAAAGTCTGCAGTTCAAGCTCACCAGCAGCTCCTTGCAAACCCTATACAGGGTCACCATGGGTAGAAACTGACTTGACAGCACTTAACAACAACAATAGCAGAAAGATTTACAATCTCAGAAACCTTTAGAAGCAGTTTCAATGTGAGTCAGAATCAATTCCATGGCAGTGGGTTTTTTGTTTTGTTTTATTCTTTTCTGAATCTAGCTTGACTTTCTAGCAATACCCTGTCCAGGTACTACTAAAGCCATTTAAAGATTATCTCTAGCATAATTTTACTTTTGTGTGGTATTAATGATATTGTTTGATCATTTCTGCACCCAATGCATAGGTGCTGGATCATCTTTTTTAGAATGGGCATGAATATGGATCTCTTCCATACTTAGTCAAGAAGCTGCTTTCCAAATTTCTTGGCATAGATGAGTGAGCATTTCCAGAATTTCATCCATTTGTTGAAACATCTCTTGCTATTCTATCAATTCTGGAGCCTAGGTTCTCACCAATGTCTTCAGTGCAGTTTGGACTTACTCTTTCAATACAATCAGTTCAATCAGTTAAATACAATCAGTTCCATATAATCATATGCTAATTCCTGAAATGTTTAAACTTCAACCAATTCTTTTTTTTTTCTTTTAATACTTCCTGCTTTTCTATTTTGCCCATAAAATAATCCTTCAGTATTACAACTTGAGGATTGAATTTGTTCTTCATCTTGAATAATGCTGAGCATGTTCTCTTGGTTTTCTAACCTCAGGTCTTTGCATATTTTGTTATAAAACTTAACTTTGTTTTCAGGAGCAGCGCTTTGAAATTTTCTACTCAGTTCTTTAATTTTACTCCTTCCTTTCATTTTAGCTAGTCTGTGTTCAAAAGCAAGTTGCAGAGACTCTTCTGACATCCATTTTGCTCATTTTTTCTTTTTAATGATCTTTTGCTTTCTTTATGTATGATGTCATCCCACAACTCATCTGGTTTTCAGTTGCTACTGTTCAAATCATCATGAAATGGTCTCTAAATTCAGATGAGATATATTCAAGGTCGTACTTTGGCTGTCCTGGACTTGTTTTAATTTTCTTCAGCTTCAACTTGAACTTGCATGTGAGTAATTGATGGTCTGTTCTACAGTGTGCACCGACCTTATTCTGAGTGATGATGATCTCTTTCCATGGATATAGTCTATGTGATTTCTGTGTATTCTGTCTGGCGAAGTCCATTTCTATAATCACCATTATGTTGTTGAAAAAAGGTATTTCCAATATATAAAGATTTCACCAAAAAAGTAAAGAGAACCCACAGACTAGGAAAAACATTGGGTAATGACATATCAGACAAGGGACTAATCTCTAAAATTTATAAACAACTTTAATACCTCTACTAGAAAAATAAAAATAATCCAATTTAAAAATGAGTAGAGGACAAGGACAGATGCATCACCAAAGAATACATTCAGGTGGCCAACAGCATATGAAGAAATGTTCTTCATCATTAGCCATTTGTTGTTGTTGTTGTTGTAAGGTGCCATCGAGTCGGTACCAAACCATAGTGACCTTATGTACAGCAGAACAAAATACTGCCCAATCCTGGGCCAACCTCACTACTGTTGCCATGCTTGAGTCCACTGATGCTGCCACTTGGCCAATCCATCTCATTGGGGGTTCTTCCTCTTTTTCTCTGACCCTCCACCTTACCAAACATGATATCCTTCTCCAGTTACTGGTCCCTCCTGAGAATATGTCCAAAGTATGAGAGACAAAGTTTGGCCATCTTGACCTCCAAGGAACACTCTGGCTGCACTTCTTCCAAAACGGATCTATTGGTTCTTTTGGTAGCCCATGTCACCTTCAATACTCTCCTCCAACACCATAACTCAAAAGCGTTAATTCTTCTACAGTCTTCCTTATTCACTGTCCAGCTTTCACATGCACATAAGGTTATTGAAAATACCATGGCTTGGGTCAGGCATACCTTGGTCCTCAAGTTGACATCCTTGCTTTTCAACACTTGAAAAAGATCTTGTGTAGCAGATTTGCCTAATGCAATACGTCCTTTGATTTCTTGACTGCTGCTTCCGTGAGTGTTGATAGTTGATCCAAGAAGAATGAAGTCCTTGACAACTTCAATCTTTTCTCCATAGATAAGAATGTTGTTTATTGGTCCAGTGGCGAGGATTTTTGTTTTCTTTACATTGAGATGTAACCCAAACCGAAGGCTTTGCTCTTTAATCTTCATCAGTAAATATTTTAAGTCCTCTTCACTTTCAGCTAGCAAGGTTGTATCATCTGCATATCACAGGTTGTTAATGAGTCTTCCTCCTATAGCTTCATATAACCCAGCATCTCGGATGACTTGATCAGGGTACAGGATGAATAAGTATGGTGAAAGAATACAATCTTGTCGCACACCTTTTTAAATTTTAAAACATTCGGTGTTCCCATGTTATGTTTAAACAACAGCTTCTTGGTCCATGCCCAGATTCCTCATGAGCACAATTAAGTGTTCCGGAATACTCATACTTTGTAATGTTGTCCATAGCTTGTCATGATCCACGCAATCAAAAGCCTTTGCATAGTCAATAAAGCACAGATAAACATCTTTCTGATATTCTCTGCTTTCAGCCAAGATCCATTAGACATCAGCAATGATATCCGTTGTTCCACAGCCTCTTCTGAACCTGGCTTGAACCTCTGGAAGTTTTCTGTCCATGTATGCTTGTAGCCGTTTCTGTATTACCTTTAGTAAAACTTTACTTGCATGGGATATCAAAGAGATTGTCCAATGGTTTCAACATTCTGTTGGGTCACCTCTCTTTGGAATGGGCACAAATATGGATCCTTCCAATCAGTCGGCAAGATAGTTGTTTTCCAAATTTCTTGGCAGAGATAAGTGAATGCCTCCTGTGCCACCTCACTTTCTTGAAAGATTTCTATTTTTATTCTATGAATTCCTGGTGCCTTGTTCCTTGCCAATTCCTTCAATGCACCTTGGACTTCTTCAGTATCATTGGCTCTTGATTATATGCTACCTCTTGAAACGGCTGAACATCAACAATTTCCTTTTGGTACAGTGACTCTGTACATTCCTTCCATCTTCTCTTGATGCTTTCTGCATCATTCAATAATTTGCCCAGAGAATCTTTCAATAA